ATGAGCTGCAGCCCCCAGCAGGGAGTCCTGAGGAGTGCTGGATGGAGAAGGAGGGATAGCATCTGCTTGGAAGCCCAGTAGGAAATCAAAAAAACCTGGAGGAAATGAAAGCAATGAAGGCTCTGCAACAAGAAATGCAGATTAAAGGGTCACAGAGGCCCCTGCAGCACCAGTAAGCTTGCCTCTGACTCCACCAAGCTCCCTTGGGCAATTTTCTCCACTGTCCATATTATCCCCTAATCCCAAAAGAGGAGGTGCAGGGGAGCAATGCACCCTTACTCAGCTAGCACATGCACCTCTGCAGTGGTTCTGGTTTCCCTGGCTGCCTTCTCAGAGAAACACTTACACATGCACAGGTTTGAAAAAATAAGACCAAGGAGAGGAGATGAAAGGCTCTGTGATTATTTAATTCAGAGAACAGAAGTTGGGGGTAGGAGAGAGGGTTTAATGCCTGTGAAATCTCCAATGGATTGTTAAGCAGAAGACCAATGGTGGCCAGCTGTTCTCAACCCCACCTCCCAACACACACACATACACATGCACATGTGCACACACATAAGTATAGCAAAAGACTCAGATTAGCTCTGAGAAAGAACTTCCTGGCAGTGAGATGGGTGACCCAGGAAGGCTATGAAATGCCTCCTCTGGGGGCTTTACCTTTATCACCTAGTTTGTCTGCCTGGACGTGATTTGAGGCAGGGGAACTGATGGAATAACGCTGGGCATGCCCTCTTCTAGCCTCAAGCAGCCTATTTGTAAGTAAAGGGGCTGGAAGCCCCTTCTCCCTCTTTGGTTCTACAAGCAAGCTTTCTGGTATTTCTCTCATTCCCTTATTCTCCTGGACCAGTGGAGCAGGGCTGTTCCCCTACACACATACATACACGCACACGTTTCCTGAGAGTGTAAACGTAACAATTCTTGAGGAATTTTTAACACCTCCGTGATACTAGAAGAGAATCATTAGACTGCCAATTTCTTCCAATTATCTCCCCTCCTGAAACTTACAGCCCCAGACAGGTTGCAGACCAAGACCAAGAAGCAAAAGAGACATGAAAGGGAAGGAGGAGTTCCCCAGGTGGGGCCCCCAAGCTAACTCAGCACCCCTTCACTCTTGAGGAATGGGTGAGGTGAGATGAGGGGTTGGTTAATGAGATTTGTGCAGAATGGAGGCTGCTTGAGACAGGGGAATATAGTGGAAACAGCCACTGCACAGGAGGCAGCAGCCTATCCCTAAATGCTCTGTGACCTTAAGCAAGTCCCTATTGCTTTCCAGGGCTCAAGATTCCCATCTATAAGCGCAGGAGTCAAAACTGGTGCTCTCTGAAGTCCTGCCCAGCTGGGAGAAAAGGGGTCAGCAGAGGCTTGAGGGACATTTAGCCTCCACCACATTGGTCTGTAGGCTGCAGGCTCCCTCCTTTCCCCTCGACCCCCTGCAAGACCAAAGAGAGGCTGATATGATACAACTTCCCTCCAGAGATAGCCTGCCCCCCAGTTTGACTTCCAGATACAAAGGTGGCCTTTTACCTGTCTGACTTACGACATGCTTCCAATCTCTTTCTAAGACCCCATTCTAAAACTCTTTCTAAAACCCAGTTTTTATTGTGGCATATTTGCACACAAAAATTATCAAAACCTCCCAATTCCCCATTCTTTGATGGCCCCTTCACCCATTCCTCCAAGACCAGATCCCCATTCCACAGCCTGGCATTTGGGAACCCCCATAACTGGGTACCAACCTCCTCTCTACCTTACAGACATACAATCTCAACCAGAAAAGACTCAGTCACCTCACTCAGCCTGCCTGACAGCCACCCCACTCCCATTCCTAATTTTGCTTATACCTCTACCCTTTGCCTAACCAAACCCCTCTACTTTCTGGAAGCTTCCCAGGATGATCCTCCTGCATACATAGATCTCACAGCTCTCTCCACAGTAGTTTGCCTCTAGGCTCATGAATCAGCACAGAAAGGTATGGGTAGTCTGGGGTCTGGGCAGTCCAGATCCCGAGCTTGTTGTTGAAGAGAGACATCACGATTTAATTTTTTCTTGTAGTTGCAACCCATTCCCCTTCTCCATCCTCATCAGGCATACTCAAATATCTGAGCCTTGAGTATCATTTCTCTAATCACTTTTATGTGGATCAGGACAAGCGCAAGTTGGAGAGGTAAAGGTCTTCTTGAAAACTACTAAGACAGCAAGTCCTTCCGGAGCATTCACTAACTGCTATACATTGCTAGGCTTTGAGGGGGTTGTGGCTGAGTTCCAGGTTTCATTTACCCCTTCCTTTGAGGGATTCTGAGAGAACCCAGATAGCCATGATATCAGGGAGACAAAGTAGAGACAGGGAAAGTTAATTATAGTTCACCTCCTATTATAATTTAAGCCCAAAAATGCCCAAGGGATGCAGGCAGCCTGGAGGAGTTCTGAGAAAGAAGAGGTCATCAGGGGTTGCAAGAAACAGGCAGGAAAGGCACCAAGGAGAAGGTGGGCCCAGAGCTGGGGACTGAAAGGGAAGAGAATTTGGACAGGGCAGGGTGAGTGGGTTTGGGTGTTGGGGTGGGGAGTTATATATGGCAGATATGTTAGGTGGCTATGGGTTTGAGGCAAGGCAGAGGGCTGGAGATGCCCAGCTGCAAGTAGGGGGCTTGTGTTGGGGCCTGGTCAAGGTGGGAGGAGGTGACTGTAGTGTGGAATCTGCAGTCCTGGCTGAAGTTACAAAGGTCCCCAACTAGTCTTGCCCCAAGTGAGTGATTTACTGGTTCTCATTGTCTCCTCTCAAATGTGCCCAGTCTTTGCCTGGGCCCTGCAGTTCACAGGGTTCTCCACCCTCAGGGGTTGGTCAAAGGTCTAAGAACAGCCAGCCAAAGCCCCTCAGTGGCCCCTTCTTTCCTCTTCCTCAGAAAGGCCTAGAGTCCTTTGCCAGAGGCACATTGTCTTGCAGTGGCTGAGCAGAGGGTGGGGTAGAATGAGGGGAGCCGCGCTGGGGGAGAGGGCTCTGCTGGAATCCCCTGGGGTGAGGCAGTGAGTCTAACAGCACAGGTCCATCCATCGGGCCCATATCCACTGTTAGAATGCAGCAGGTGGGCAGAGCCTCCTCTAGAGGGAGGTGTTTGTGTGAGGGACAGGGCTCACCTTGACCCCAGGGCCCACGCTAAGGCAACCTGGCCAAACAGAGGCCAGCTCTGCAGGGCCAGTCCAGCAGCTGCCCAGGCGCCTGGCAGGCCCAGCCCCTCACCGCCGGTGAGCCTAGGTAAAGTCCCGCGGTCCAGGGGTCACCAGTGTCAGAGGTGTCTGCAGCAGACAATGACAGCGGTCCCGGGGGCTGGGTATTTTAAGTAACTACGAAGTTGGAGGGTTTGGCTGCCTCTCTAGCTCTCACACACACCCAGCCGGTGCGTTCCCCATTACAATAATTGCTCCCTCAGCCTCTGGCACAGAGATCCCCCCCTCAACACCTTGCTTATCGCTATTTTTAAACAGGAGGCTGGAGAGAAAAATGCAGCTAGTGCTCTCCAAGAGGAGAGGAGGCAAGGCAAGTGGGAGAGACAAAGCGGCCTTGCAGCTTCAAGCCCAGGTCCAGGGAGAGCACTGATGCCAGCCCTCCTGTCCGCGGGGGTGGACGCCAGATGCGCCTGGAGGCCCAGGAGCAGGGGGCGCGGCTTGTTGAGGCAGCAAGGCCGAGGTTCCAAAGGGAAGTGGGCAGCCTACAGGCCCAACTGAGCTCCCTGGGAAGGAGGCAGACAATGTAGATGCCCCAATCCACGCCAAAGCCAATGTCCCTCGCGACCAGGCCAGCGCGCTGGCTTCGTCCGCAGAGAGAAGGGAGAAGCATGAGATGCGGAGGGAAGGGGAGGGGCGCAGGAGGGCCGCTGGGGGGTGAAAGGTACCCGCGTAACACAGCTGTTCCAGCTAATGTGCTACAACAAAGCTGCGGAGCTCTCGGCCTACAAATGAACCGCTGGGGGTGCTGCCTGGCGGGTCCCCTTCTGGGACAGCGCGGTAGCACGTGCGGGCCCCATCTCTGCCTCCCCCGAGAGGCAAAAGGCATGGCCCAGGCTAGCCCGCCTGCCTGCCCGCCCTCTTCCCCTCCTTTAGCCGCAGTCGCCCGCGCTCAGAGGACTCTATTTTGCCCCTCGCCAGACAGTACTCAAAGCGGGTTCCAAGAGGGAGCAGAGAGCGGCCCGGACGCCGACCGGCCCAGCCCTTAGAGCCCCTCTCCAGGAGGCTAGAGCTGAGCACGCGGGACTGCACCGGATGGCGGGCAGGCGGAGGCTACTGGCTGCGCGCAACGCTTACCCGGCTCAGTCTGGTTTCCAGCACAGTTATTGTCTGCTGCGCCACCCTGGCTGGGGCTGCTGCGGCTGAGAGCGCCGCCACTGTCGCTCCTGCCACCGCTACGGCGGCTCCAGTCACCTCCTGCACTGGCTTCCCTTCTCCAGGCTCCAGGCAGCTCCCTTATACCCCCTCCCCCCCCCGGACTCCACAACCACAGGGTGGGGAGTCAGCGCCCTGATTGGCAGGCATGTGGCCCAATCGCCACGGCGGGAAGGCGTGCCCCCCGCCCGGCCACTGTTTTCCTTGGTGCATTTCTCTTTAAATGCAAATAAGTGCGGGCGTGGTGTTGGCAGGGGGCGGAGAGGGTGCAGAACCCCTTGCCCTAACTCTCCAGTCCCTCCCCCAAGCCGGGCGGGTCGCTGCCGGGTGAAACCGTGAGCTCGCGGGGCCAGTCCCACCTGGGTGGGGCTCGCTGGAGCCATGGAGCTAGGTTTCGATTTTGCATGTGTTCCCATTTCCGTGGCCATAGTGCAATCACGCTGCAGCGCCCTGGCTGCCACAGGGCAGTTTATTCCAGAACGAGAGGAGGGCGGGGAGAGACGGGGCGGAGAGGATGGGGAACATAGGGGGCTGTAGAGCCTCTTGGCACCTTGCCCGCCCAACCTTAGGCATAGAGACAGGGTCCCGTGGCGGGCGCCCCGAGGCCGCGCAGAGGAGGGACTCACCTGCCAGCAAAGCCGATCGCAGCGCCTGCGCCCCACCTTCGTCTGTGTCTCCCTCTCTGGCGAACTAGGGACCTTAGGAACCATCGAGGTCAACTTCCACCTCTTACACAAGGGCCTGCTGCAGCCCAGGGTAGGGAAGGGAAGCTTCCCCATGTCACTCAGATTTGAAATTCAGAAACCCTGGCTCCTTGTCCAGGGCTGCTTTCACCTTTCTTCTCTGGAGAGAACTGTTTCAGTAGTTTGATCCCAACTCAAATTTCCCAGCTTTCATGGAACTTGAGGGGATCCTCAAGGTCTCTAGAGGCCCCATCAAGCTTTTAATGATGAGCCAGGCTTTGCACAGTTCTCTTTCCCTTAAAAGTCTAGATATTGAGAGAAAAGTCTTGTCTGAGCCCAGACAGAGGTCAAGGCTGAAGGCGGAGTGAGGAGCCCTGTACCAGCCTTGCCTGCTGCAGTGTTTGTGTGGCAGGATGTGGCAGGGGGCCAGCCTGAGCTTGAGTCTCTAACTAGCTGGAGGGCATCAAGTGTCATAAGTGGCTGCCAGGGCCAGGGGAGCTGAGGCAACAAAGAATCCAGTTCTACCACTAGTTCAAGAATATCCAGAAGGCCCAGACCAAAAACTCTGTGAATGTCTAAAAAAGGGGAGGGGGATTAAAGTTGAGGAGAAGGGAGGAATTAGAGAACAATGCCTGCCATTTTTGCATTGCAGGAGGAGTGTTGTCTGCTGCTTTACTGGGTCCTGTCTGCATTGAAAAGATCCAGCTGCTAAACTTGTAAGAGGAGGACTGTTAGCTCTGCATGTTTGGAGCACAGGAACTGACATAGCTGCTAGGACTGGGATCTGGCTCCAGCTCTGCCTCAGACTTGCTGTATGACCTTGACCAGTCCGTTTTCCTCTCTGGACCACTCTATCACCCCATCTCCACAAGGAGGTGGTAAGATTAGTCAAGCTCCTTCATCTCTTCTAGCTCTGACAGTTCAACTCAATACTTTTTGTAATATTCTGTGATGTTCCATGCCCTTCCATGACATTTTATACATCTACTACAAAAATCAGCAATTTGAACAACAGATCTCCTATTCTAGTCCGAGGTCTAAATAAATGGCAGGGAGGAGGGAGCTGCTGCTGGCTCATAGTGCAACTTTGTTGGGTAAGTCCCTTCTCCTCCCTAGCCTCAGTTTCCCCATCTGGATGGCTGGACTGTATTTCCCTGGAGATATGCTTTCCTGCTTTGCAAAGTCTCAATTCTCATTTGTTGGAGCTGCTGTGGAGGTGTCTTTTTTTCACCACCTCCTTCATAGGCTCCCCCACTGCCTCATGCTTCTGGTTACCTGCCACCTGTTCACATTTCACCCAGAACTTTGATTCTCTGAAGTAGGCCAAAGATTACAATTTGGAAAAGACAGCTTCCAAATCTGGAGCCCAGGGAAACACAGGGTCACGGTAGTCTCAGCTGTGGGAACAGGGAGAGAGGAAGTGTGCAACTAGTCAAGTGATGGGCTTGAAATAACTCTGAGGTAAGGGGGAACTGTTGTGCTGCTCCTGTACCAGGAGCTAGTCCTCCTTGTCCTCTGCCCAGCTGCCAGACATTCTTCCACACCAGTCAGATTTAAGACTGATAGATGTTGGTCATTGAGCTGGGCTCAAAAGAAATAGGGCTCCAGGAAAATGAAAGTAGTCTTTGACATGCTAAAGAGGTCTCCTGGTTGGGTGCCCTTCTTCTCGGTCCTGATATCTTTAAGTCTCAGGAGGAGATTGTTTATGTGCACATTAAGGAAGAAGGGATGTGTAGGGAGGTGACACAGCTCCTAGTTTGTATGGCCCACCTCTCCCCAGGGACGATGTATGGGGAGACCAAATATGGGCATACATTTGTCCCCAAAATGCCTTCTCAAAGAGGGAGCTCTCCGGGCCCCCGTTCCACATGCTGATTGACACATGATCAACTTGTTTGGTCACTACAGGGGCTGGTGGTGGGGAGCAAGAATACTTTCTTGTCTTAAGTTTCTTCACCTATAAAACAGAGATAATCCCTCTGCTGCCCAGCATCTTGAGGCTGCAGTGAAAAACCCATGAGAACAGATGTGTAGGCTAGGTGGAAGTAACTCCATAAACTAAGGTAGACAGACTGGTCCACATGACTACAATGCTCATTTCTTTCTTCACCAAATGTCCCATGGGAACCTTCTCTATACCAGGCCTTGTGATAACCGTTGGGAGGAGAGGGTACAGTGGTAACTTCCTGGTAAAAGGGGAGCTCTAGGGATGGAGTTCTGAGAGGAGCTGAAAGCTAGACTAGAGGTCTGGCAAAGGGGATCTGGAGCATTGTGGATGAAGAGATTCCTTCTCTCCAGGGTGGGGAGGGACATCAGAGAAAAGTTCCATGGAGGATTGCCTTGATGATTAAGCCAAGTCAGAAAAGTAGGGGAAGGATTCCTGCCCAAGTCAGAGCCCATCTGTGTGAGAAAGTATGGTGGGTTGGGCAAGAGCTAAGATTCTGGACACCTGGGGTGAGTATTTGTAAATGGGGAGAGGAAGAGCTGGAAATTAGGCTAGAAAGATAGGTCTAGGGACAAAGTATAAAAGACCATCACTGTCCAGCTAAATTGAGCATCAGCTAGCCAAGTCTGTGCTTCCCAGTGAAGCAAGCAATACAGTGTAGCGGCTCTGCTACCAGACTACCTGGGCTGGGTTGCTGGCTCTACCACTTGGGAGCAGTGTGACCTGTGCAGGTTATTTCACCTCTCTCTCAATTTCCTCTTCTGCAAAATGGGAATAATAATAGTACCCATGTGACAGAGTTGTAGTAAGAGTTAAGTGATTATTCCATGTTAGTGCTTAGCACAGAGTCTGATACATACAAAGCTCTCAATAAATGTTAGCTGCTACTGCTGTTATTATTATTGTTAGTCTCCTTAAGACCCAATGTACAGATCTTCAAAGTTATACAACTCATAATATGACTTTGAAACCACTTTTTGATATAAACACACGTAAACCTATGATTCCTTGTACACAGATTACTTTTGATTGTGCAGAGCCAGACCAAGTTTCCCGGGGTAGAGGGTCTCTTTGTTCATCTTTGTTCATCACTTCAACACCGAACAGAGTTTAGCACAAACTTAGTGCTAAGCACATGTTTGTTGAATATTGTCAAACAAGGTGCTTTCAGGTCTAATATCAAGCTTAGTTGCCAGCATCTGCCAGTGAAGTGTGATATTGCCATTCTCTGAGCACATCCTCTGTTTCAGGCCCTGTGTTTGGTGCTACATCCATAATAGTGAACTAGACACAGCTTCTGGCCTCAGGACAGCCAGTGTAGTGCAAGCAGCACACAACCCATCAGACCAATGCCCTGCAGTTCTGACTTAGGCAAGGCACTGGATGGTGTTGCCATCAACTGAAGTAAGGAATATAGGATTAGGAAAATGTAATGATTCTGTTTAGGACATTCTGAGTTTGACTTGCCTGAAATCCCACCTTCATGCCTTTGCACTTGCTGTTCCCTCTGCCTACAGTGTTTATCCTCTGAATACTGACATGTAGACCATTATCTTGCACCATACACAAAAATCAACTCAAAATGGATTGAAGACTTGAATGCAAGACCTGAAACCATAAAACTTGTGGAAGGAAACATAAGCAGTAAATTCCTTGACATTGGTCTTGGCAGTGATTTTTTGGATCTGACACCAAACGCAAAGGCAACAAAAGAAAAAAATAAACAAATGGTACTACATCAAACTAAAAAGCTTCTGAACAGCAAAGGAAACCATCAACAAAATGAAAATGGGACCTACTGAATAGGAAAAAATATTTGCAAATTGTATCTCTAATAATGGATTAATATCCAAATATATTAAAATCTCATACAACTCAATAACAAAAAAAATTCGATTAAGAGATGGGCAAATATGTGAAGATAGTTTTTCAAAGAAAACATACAGATGGCCAACAGGTACATGAAAACATGCTCAACATCACTAATTATAATGGAAATGCAAATCAAAACCACAATGACATATTACTGCATGCTTGTCAGAATGGCTACTATCAAAAAGACAAGAAATAAGTCTTGGCGAGGATGTAGAGAAAAGGGAACCCTTGTGCACTGTTGGTGGGAATGTAAATTGTTGCCGCCACTATTCAAAGCAGTATGGAGGTTCCTCAAAAAATTAAAAATAGAACTACCCTATGATCCAGAAATTTCACTTTTGGTAGTCATCCAAAGAAAACAAAAACATTAGCTTGAAAAGATATTTGCACCCCCGTGTTCACTGCAACAGAATTTACAATAGCCAAGAAATGGAAGCAACATAAATGCCCATCGATGGATGAATGGATAAAGAAATTGTGAGATATATATATATGTGGAATCTAAAATTTTTTAAAAATGAGCTTATAGGTACAGAGAACAGATTGGTAGTTGTCCGATGCAGAGGTTGGGAGCTGGGCAAAATGGGTGAAAGAGATAAAAATGTACAAACTTCCAGTTATAAAATAAATAAGTCCTCGGGATGTAATGTACAGCATGGTGACTATAGTTAATAATATTGTATTGTATATTTGAAAGTTGCTGAGAGAGAAGATATTAAAAGTTCTCATCACAAGAAAAAATATTTCTGTAACTATGTATGGTGATGGACATTAACTAGACTTATTGTGGTGATCATTTTGCAATATATACAAATATTGAATCATTTTGCTGTACACCTAAAACTAATATGCCAGATTTGCCCTGGGGAATCAGGAAACCTGTTCTCCATACATTCATCAAGTCATTCCTATGACTGTGTATGCCTCGTTCTAAGAACTGAAATCTTCAAGTCCAAAAGACTGAAGTATTCCGGGCCCTCTCTAGTCTAGTCCCAAGCCCAGCTCTTGTTCAAATACGTTGAACTTGAAACAAAGTAAACTGGTTACCCAAACTGCCCTGCTTTTTTCCGCTTCCATGTCTTTGCTCTCTGAGTTCCCTCCACTAATACCTCTTCTTTCCTCACTACTGATTAAAGCCCTTTGCACCGTTAGGCCAAGATCAAATACGACCTCTTTCCTCAGACCTTCCTTCAAGTTAGCAGCTGAAGGGGATCTGTGTGGTTTCTGAAGTCTAGTATGCTGTTTTGTACTTTGGCTCTAGTATTTGAGGGCCACCTTTCTGAATAAAGCAAAAGAATTTTTCCATTGCAAGAGAGAACACAGACTGATCAGTGGCATGTGCAGAGCAGAGCCAACCCAGGCTCATAGCAATACTAGGAAGGAAGGGAGGGAAGCAGGGGGAAGAAGGAAGGAAAGAAAGGGAGATCAGGATAAGATAGGGAGAGAGGGAGAGAAGGAGGGAGGTAAGGGGCCTAGATCACCTGAAAGGGTTAAGATTCGGTGTTCCTGGAAGCTGGTGGTGGTAGTGAGGGGTAGGAGAGGGAGGTTGGGTTATCATCTGGG